AATTTTGAATTCCCACAGCTGAAATTGATATTAATAGCTTGAGTATGATTAGTGCCACTGATCATCCTATGACTCACTGCACTCTCTTTTCAGGCCCTAATTTGAAGACTTTATGCAAAATAGCTGTCATTCAGTACAGTCTGGAGCAGTCGGGACTCCCACATGATATCAGGTCAGATGAGCATCCTCCTCTCAAACATTAGCACTGTTTTGTCATAGAGCTGACATATTGTTGTCCGTGCTGTTTTTATTATGCCTGTCATTGTTGCCACTACTCAGTCTCTCTCTAATTAGGTTGTTTTTTCAAAAGAGGCAAATTATGATTCATTATCCTTCATTTAACTAGTGGCAAGTTTTACTCTGGCTTTTGTCTGACTTGGCTTAGGTCCTCGCATGTAGAGATCATAATTATAGATCTAAATGCATAAAGGTTTGGGTACAGAAGTCAGACAGCCAGGAACCATTTGTATAGTGCTGCTTTCAGTTGCTTCATTATCTGTGATCACATGTACAGCTTGTATAAGATCCTGCCCTGTGATGCAGAGGAAAGGCTAAAATACAAATGCAGTACATGGTGTGCAGAGAGTACCTATTCAGCCTTTAAAGAACTGAAATTAACCCTAAAGTGGACTACAAAAAGTAATTTCACTACTTTATCCTTGGAAATTAAATATAACAAAATCTTAATGCTAAAACTTTATATCTTTGAGATGATTAACAGTCATTAAACAACTTCAGGTGTGGTTACAAAGTAGCAACATAAACAGCCATAAACAACAGATTCAGGGATAGCTTCTTTCCCAGAGCTATCACCGTAGTAAATAAGCACAAAACAATTAAACCTGCTTAACTAGACTTGCCATTGTCACTATATTATGCTGCTATTCATACTATCATTACATTATGCTGCTATTCATACTATCATTATATTATGCTGCTATCCTGTATATATTGTACTTATTATTGTCTGAGTACTACGGTTGTTTTATTGTACTTTTTATATTTTACATTTATATTTATTTTGCATTTTGCACCACGGGAGTGGCACTCCAATTTCGTTGTACCTTGTACAATGACAATAAAGGCTATTCTATTCTATTCTAAACTAATCAAGTGAAAAGTTGGCTTTGACTTAAATTACTTGTCCACCTGAAAGATTTTGAAATGGTTTAGAATAGCTTAAAATTAATTAATTTAAAAAAAAGAAGCTTAGACAGTTGTGCTTGATTATTTAAAAACAACAACATCTGACCGTCAAACAAGCTTCTGTGCCAGTTCAGCCAGCCAGCATCCCAGTCACCTATCAGTCTAGTGATGACTCAAGGTGAAATGATTGGCAATGTCCATAATCCTCACTGTGTAGAAAGAGAGCTTTCCAAGGTTTCTTATGAAAGACCCTAAATGGTTTAATTTAAATGAATAAAGCTTATGAGCCTTTGAGAAAATGTAGCGTCTGCTGAAAGTTTATTTTTGCTTCCCCCTCCCACCGTATGCGCCCTGTTTGACTTGGTGATATATAGGAACGTCATAGTTGCACCACACTGCTCATGGAGATCATGACAGGATGAAATGCTATCGCAGTTCTTCTAGTTGAATATCCTGCACAGGAGTTGCCACACAAGTGTGTAAAAAGTCTTTTTTTCCCCCCTCAGCATTTTGAATTAATAACGCATAATTTTCCCGTCTTGCTGACTGATATCAAATTGTTTTGACACATGACTAGCAAGAGAGTCAATTTTGACAGCTCCACTTTGATTTGTTGTGAGGTTGTAATGACAGGTTTGGGAAGTTTTGATAGCTGCATTTAAGCCCATGTTTAATGCATAGAAAGGTAAGATGCATTAAAATAGACTAGCTGTCAGAAAATGTGTGTGTATATATAAATTGCAGAAAAGCAATTTAAAGTACATGACTGTTCCCCTAAAACCTTAATTCATAGATTCGGTCAAGCTGATGGAGATCATTAGGAAAGGTGTTTGTCTAAAATTGAGGACTTCCACTAAGGGGATTTTTGTTACACGTGGACCCCCTGGAACCTGATACTAATTACTCCTCTTAGCCTCTCATTTCTCTTGCACCGTCACTGCCACCTTGCATGTTCCCCACTTTGGTGTTTGCAGTTGTGTTTCTAACCTTTTAGAGGGTTTTCAGTCGGGGTCACAAGACTTTGGTTAACTCCTTTTGCCCCTCAGTGGCATCTCCAGGTCCTGTGCCAATCTCCCCTCTTAAACACACACGTGCACAACAAAAAACGAACAAAGCCGTTTGATAGGGAGTGAGTGTGAAACCAGACCCAGTGATAACAATCTGGAGCTCAACCTCTGACCTGTCATCAGGTCAGCACTAGACCCTGTTGTCAGCTCCTGCTCCTGATGCTCGTGTTACAGCGGGGGCCACGATGTAGCCCCTCACGTGGGTAAGGTGGGGTCAGGGGTCCAAATATAAACGACTTGATTTAAAAAAGAAAGGGATTCTGCAAATATAAAATTGTAGACAGCTTAGCATAAGGCTCAAAACTGCCCATTTCAGTTATTTTAATGACTGAACTATAGAATTGTGAGTTAAAGAAGCTTAAAAACCAAAAAATTTAATCCAGCATGAACATCATGCCTATTCATATTTGGCACTAATGACTTTGGGTTTTGCACTGGTGCACTTTGAAATCAAATTTATTGTTTGCTGGTGATTACTAAAGCTTTTGTTTTGTTTTTTTTTTTTGTTTTTTTTCTTTAACGTCAGGTGGGAACTGGCAGCCATGACAACCAACAGCAACATCAGTAGGCCCATCTTCTCCTCCCATGGCTGAAGAAGCTTAAAAGTGAAGCAGAACCCAGACTCTGTTTCAGGACACTGGGCTTTTATCTTTCTAATCAAGGACGGTTTTTGTATAGTCTGGATCAGATTTATTTTACACATTCTACAAGTGGAAACTTTTACTGACCAAAACATCCCGTGTGAGACTCCCTTGGACACCATCGGCTTTGCCCTGTCTGGGGATATTTTAGCCCTTAAGATGGAAATCGTTGATGCCTATTCACCTTTTTTTTTTCTCTTCTTTCTAGCCTCTCTAGAAATTCAATCAGCCTATGATAATCATAGACTTCTAATGTTAAGCACAGGAAGAGACAAGAACTTCAGCCAAAGGTTTTGAGAGCCAACCTCTTTGAGGATTGTCATCCAGATGTCACACTCATACAAGTGTGAACCTTCTGTTTCAAATGCAAATGGTTATTTCACTTGCAGCGTTCCTTTACTTAGCCATGTGCAACTATCAGGTTCATGGGCAGATAGAGCTGGTGCATGTTGAATGAAAGGAGAAGATTCTTTACCACAATATTGGAATATGATCGTTACAAAATAAGCTGGATTTCAATGATTTGCCATTTCCCTTCATTGTAATTCTGTCAGTACCCTACTTAAGTGGCTACAATGTGATTTGCAAGGCAGCCAATGAAAATGTCTGCCTTGTAGAGTGGAGCGCTTCTATCTCCCTGAACCGCATGCATCATTGGGCCTTTAAGATTTCCCATACATTGAATCACTAAAGGAGGTGTTTTGCAGGAAATGCTGTAGTTTCACTAAAGGGTTCACCTGCCACCCCCCCTTAATATGCTTTACAGTGCCAAACGTGGAAGGGAATCTTGATGCAAAGTGTGAGTTTGCATGTAAGCTAGTGGTCCTCGCCCACCTCATTTAGTTTACTTGTTGTTAAGGAGATCATCTGATATGCATAGTGTAGTTTCTTTTTAGAGACAATCCCATAGTTTAACAATGTGACCCTCTTATGTTTGTGCATAATGACAGGCAAAATTGCAGATGTTTTAAATGCACAAGGGCTGTTAACAGATTACATACC